ACATACATACATACATACATACATACATACATACATACATACATACATACATACAGTGCCGCCCAAACTTTTTAAAGATTCTTTTCTGTAAAGCACTCATGACAGAAAATAAAAGAAGCCCGCAACAAGCACAAGCCAGCTAAATCTTTTATCAATACAAGGCCATCGCTGGCGTCCTAACAGCCATTATTGTGTTTATAGCACCGTAAAACATCTACCATGCTATGCCAAAGTTCCCGCGCTTTAACTAAACATAATACATCATGTATGTTGTCATATTTAGCAGCAGTAGTCTGACCTAAAAATCCCTCGGTGGATTAACCCAAGCGATGATATGATGACACACAGCGAGTTTGGTGGTACATTAATATTAATTAGATGACACATCTCAGATGTGCTCCTGTCGAAACAAAGCCCACAGCAAAGCTACCAGTAGAGTAGGCCGTCTAAAAATAAACGCAATCTGAGACTGTACACTAATATTCTCATACAATGTGAGCCCCGGTGCCCGGAGCAATCCAGCGCAGTGCTCAAGTAAATTGTGATTAGTTCATATTCTTGCCACTACCCTATTTTAAAATTTAGGTCTTGCCCCGACTCTGTAACCGTGAACTTGAGCGAGGTGAACACAGAGTTAGGTCACCGTCTGTTGAGTTGTGCCTTTGAATGGCGTTTTAGTGGAGTTGTGAAAGTGTTATTACTTGAGTGTTCAGTTCCAATGCAAGATAAACAGAATTGATTTCTAACTAATAGATATATATGTGTAGTTTTAGGAATCAAAGCGACGAATAAAAATAATGAAAGTAAAAACGTTAGATCCTCACCAACCCAAAGATATTAACATTATACACCATCCAATTTACTATGCCCAACCTGCGATAGCTTAATTGTGCACACTCACTTTTTAGACTCACGAACCGCCCCTGATACATCGATCCATCCATCCATCCATCCATCCATCCATCCATCCATCCATCCATCCATCCACCCATCCATCCATCCACCCACCCATCCATCCATCCATCCATCCATCCATGCATACATACATACATACATACATACATACATACATACATACATACATACATACATATACAGACAGACAGACAGACAGACAGACTGGCTGATAGACAGACTGGCAGACAAGCAGGCAGGCAGACAGATAGACAGACAGATTACAGACAGATAGATTACAGACAGACTGACAGACCTACAGACCAACAGTGAGATAGTGCGACATATAGACATATGAGTATTCAGTGAAGAAAGACAGAGCAACAGACATATAGACATGCAGAGAGAGAGACAGAGAGAGAGAGAGAGAGAGAGAGAGAGAGAGAGAGAGAGAGAGAGAGAGAGAGGGGTTGCATAAGCTGGGGCTTTAATGGTGACCGTCATAAAAGCCAATATAACCATACTTTTGCGTAGCATCACTCTTTGGACCAAAATTAAAAGTCTTGATTAGAGACTTGCTCGCAATACAGCTGCCTGTCTTTCTGTTTCTCGATCTTTCTGCATTCTTGGAAACTTTACCCTTCACGCATTCGTCCACTTTAAAGTGCAACAAAATGTAATCCTGTGTGAAAGTGACATGGCAATCAAGTACGTTTGCTTATAACTTATTATTATCTCTGGACAGCGTGCTCATTAACGACCTTTACGCTACGAAAGGCTTATTACTTAAATGTCTATATTGTCCTCCCCTCCCACATCTCTCTCACCCCAGGGGCGTCTTATGGGATGGGGCATCAGTCCCACCAGGTTTTCTTCACCAAATGTTACTTCTTTGACTTAAATTAAAGTCTGTGTGTGCACACTAGAATGAAGTTTTGAGCGTATGAACAGTTAGTGTTCTCTTGCGTGCGTTCTCATGAGTTCTATGTGTAGCGATCATACAAACAATGAAACAAGAGCCGTTACATTTTATCACTGAGGTAAGCTCGTTTTAAAATTGGAATCTAATGTTTGTTCTTCAATGCTGTAATGTATCGTGTAGAATACTTAATGGAAATTCGCTATAGTCCTTTATGAGACTGCGATCTCATCAAACAGTAGAATTTTCGCATCCTGTAGAGGAAAGAAATCAAAATAAATATTCTAATCATGAATGGTTGATCATGAAGGGTGCACCGTTCAGCCGAAAAGACATCGGTAATGTTGTTTTTTGGTTTGATTTTGTTGTTGTTGTTGTTGTTGTTGTTGTTGTTGTTGTTGTTGTTGTTGTTGTTGTTGTTGTTGTTGTTGTTGTTGTTGTTGTTGTTGTT